CGAAGTCCTATCTTTTTCCCCATACCTGCCGCACCAATTTCAGCAAGGAAACCTCTTTTCCTTGCCTTGCAAGGCATTCTAGAAGCCTTATCCTTTCTTATCTAATCTGCCGCACCTTTTGGCCTTTTCCCTTGGGGATTCTAATTGTTTAAGCCTTTTTCCTTGTGGATTTGGATTTTACAAGTCCATATCTGATTTCCCTAGGGTTTTATGTGCCTATATATATTTTTATTTATGCCTTGGCCGAACGACCACCTCTCATATACATCAATTCACGCCAGAAATTCATCACCCTTCTCTGCCGCAGCAATCACCACCAATTCTCCATAATTCCTAACCAAAACTACCCCTTGCCGCACCATCCATCCATCCTAAACACTACCATACCATCTCCCATCCATTCTACACCATTCATAACCCCAAAACCTGTCCCCAAGCTGTGTGCCGCAGCAAGGAGGAAAAAGGAAATCGTGGATGCACCTGCTGTCCAAGTTGGAGCGTCTAGGTGTTTTCTTTCTTTGGATTTCAATGTCTAAATTTATTTATCTTTCCTTTGTGCGTATGAGGAACTAAACGCCCCTTGGCTAGGGGGGGATTTGAAACCATGTTCATGCTTGTTATATAATTTGATTACTTTCAGTTGCGTTTCATAAGTTGTGAATTCAATTTGCTTATCTATATAAATTAAAATTGATTTGTTTGTGTTGGTTGAGAGTGCACACTTAATTTTCATGCATAAATCTGATGCTAGGGTATAAGGGAGTTTCACCTATTTTTTATGAACTTATATTCATGAGTAGTAAAGGTTGCTAATCACAATCGCGTTAAGTAAATTCTTGGCATAAGTTTCATGCAATTCATAGTAACAAGTGCCTCGTCAATGCTTATGATTTTCATAGAACTTAATGATTCTTGCTTGTATCTCTATTATGCAATTCATGTAGGGAACTTGGGGGGAATGCTTTGGGTTGTTGTATGCAATCATCCAATTCAATAACTTTAGGAAAATCTGAGGGTTAATTAGTGCATTTCACGGTTAATCTGAGGCGTTGAGGATTCATAGTTTATTGAAAAGCAATTGGAAACCGTTTTGTATGTCATCACTCATATATTTCATGCATTTATACCATCCATTTCTAAAGTCTTTGTGATGTTTTTGTGTTAAAATTGTGGTACTTTACCTTACCTTGTGTTAATGTACAATTAAATTTGCTTTAAGATTAATTTCAAGTAAAGTGGAGAAAAATAAAAAAGAAAGGAAAGGACACTTTGTGTTTTGTATAATTAAACATAATTCAGTCCGTTATTATGTGCAGATGGGTTCAAAATTTACCGGTTTCAATTATCTTTATCTAAAGTTGCAGACCACTACAATACCACTACATCTTAAAGCTTAAGTGGGGAGTGCATTGACAAAGGAATTGGGACGGTAGTGGAGAAAATAAAGAAAATAAAATAAGTAGAGATAGACACGGGCAGACTGGAAAGAAGCAGGGTGGAGAAAAGAGAACAAGCACTGTGAAAAAGAAGTAATAAAAAAAAGATTAAAAGAAGAAACGGAGGGATAAGAGAAGGGGAGAGAGGTCAGAAGTCGGGGGAATTTGGAAGGCAGGTCAGAGCCTTGCAGCGAGAGAAGAAGGACAGCTGCCTGACAGCTAGTGAGAGAAGCTGCACAGAAAACTGTGCGGAGAAAGAAGAGAGATTGTCAGAAGCACAGTCCACACGGGTAGAAGACCAGAGGCACGGGCGGACTGGCGAGCAGCGTGAGCCTCGGGGAGGAGAAAAACAGAAGCAGCAAGCTGCCTTCTCTCTCGGTTAAATCTTTCCAAACTTATATTTTATTTCTGTTTTAATAATGTGTAACTAAATTTATTTTGGCTAGAGGTTAATTCAAAGCCATGAATATATTTGTAATATGAATTGATTACCTTCAGTTGTGATTTCTGAGTTGTGATTTAATTTGCTTAACTGCTTAATTGATAACTTATTTTTGTATGTCGATTAAGAATGCATACTTAATTTACATGCATGAATTTGATGCTAGAATATAAGTGAATTTCACCTAATCGTTATGAACTTATATTCACAAGTAGTGAAGGTTGTTATCCACAATCGTGTTAAGTGAATTCTAGGCTGGATTAACATGCGTATTCCATAGTTATGAATGCATAGTCAATGTTTATGATTTCCGTTGAACTTAATGATCTTTGTTGAATGTCTCTATCATGCGTATTCCATAGTTAGGGACTTTGATGAGGAATAATTTGGTTGTAATGCGTATTCCATTCAATCCAATGAATCTAGGGAAATCTAAGAGTTAATTTAAGCGGACCTAATTAACTTGGAACATTGTCATTCACAATTTATTGAAAGAACAACTGAAAATCAATTTAGGTTGCATATGTGTCATATGTGGAGAAGAACCCTCTAGCTAGTCCGTCACCTATCCTTTCACCTTAATTCATGCTTTTGTCAATTCTGTAATTTATTTAAATTTAATTTACTTCTCGTCAAAACCAAACCCCCCCCCATTATTAAATTATATTATTTAGTTAGTGTTCATTGTTGTTAGTCTTTTAATTCAATTTCCGTCCATTTTAGTTCCTAGTGTCTAATTTAATTGTTTTCATTATTTTGAGTCATTCTAAGTATGTTTCGAGTTATTAGAGTTTTTAGCCTAGTTTTGTGTCCTTGAGTCTTGTTTAATATTTTAAAATTAATTTAGAATAGATTAGCAATCCCTCCTAATCCCCGGCCTAGAACGATACCCTACTTACATCTATACTACAATTGTCAAAAAGAGGGTTTAATTTGTGTGTCAAGTAATTCTCGCATCAGTATGCAAGTGTGACATGTGTGGAGAAGAACCTCCTAGCTAGCCCATCATCCATCTAATTCACCAAATTTCGTTAAATCTGTTTAAGTTTTTCTAGTTTTATTTCACTTAATTTTTGTTCAAAACCAAATCCCCTTTTTCTTTAGAGTGTCTAACTAGTTAGAATATGTTTTAGAGTGTGTGTTTAAAGTGTTTTGAGTCAAGAAAACCCAAAAATTCGTCCAAATGAGTGTTAGAGTTCAAATCTGCACAGTTTGTGTTTTTAGGCAGATTTGAGTGTTTTTGTGCTGTTTTGAATCTTTTGAGTTGTTTTAGTGTTTTAGAGTTTCGTTTTGCATTCTCTGAGTCTAGTTTAGTGTTTTAAACTTTGTTTTACGTTTTTGAGTCAGTTTTAAGTGTTTTTGCAATCCCTCATAATCCTCGGCCTAGAACGATCCCTACTTACGTACTTTGCTACAATTGATAAAAAAAGAGTTTAATTTGTGTGCTTATATATTTCGCATCAACTACTAATGGCTTGATCCTTGTTTAGGGTGTATAGGCAGTCTAACGAGACGTTAGATGCAGTCATACAATAATTGAGAGTAAACAATTGAAACAAAGCCTTGTTTGGGGAACTGGGCAAGGTGAAGGATTTTGGTAAAAAGGTGAGATTTAACCTTATGAATTGGTGATTAATGTTGGTCATACATCAATGTGTAAAGAATGAAGAATTTGATGTAAGGAAACATAAGTAATGATAATCAATTAAACTAGTGTTTAGTTGGGCTTGTCACCTATAATTATCCCCGAAAATGAATAATTCGGGAGTAGGGAGCTTATGCATTTTTATGCCACATATATATATATATATATATATATATATATATATATATATAATTGGAAATGCTATAACGTGGTTAAGTATTAGATTTCATCATGGTTTATTTATATGTATATTACTCGCACACAATTATTATGAACGCTTTGAAGTGCAAAGGTGAACGCAGGACACCCAGGTAAGTTCAGGTGAATTTATGGTGTTAGTTGAAATCATGGGGTTATGGTATGACTACATGTATGTTTAGGCAACTCCGACCTTGTCGTATAGGTTGCAATGATAGGCAACTTCGACACTGTCATACAGTTTGCCCATGAATTGTATATGTTACAATAGATACAGTTAGAGCTCATAAATCTGCACCCCGGTGTTAGTGCTCCCACCCGTGGCCAGGGCACAGTCCTTCACGTGATGTTCACCTCCCGCACCTTATGCTCACCTTGGATCCAAGGTAGGTGAACAGTCTTGTCGTACATACCACTTTAGGTGGTTCCGACTTGTGTGCAGGTATACTTATTGAGCTATGAATAAGTCGTACATATCACTAGAGGTGACTCCGACTTATGAGCTAGCATATGTGATGAGATATGTGATGAGCTAGCATATATGATGAGATATGTGATGAGCTAGCATATGTGACGAAATATGTGATGAGCTAGCATATGTGATGAGATATGGGTAAGTTGTACAAGTCACTATAGGTGACTCCGACTTGCGTGCTAGTACTGGTTATTAATCACATGATTATTGATATTGCCAATGCGATGCTGTGTTGTGATATATTTATGATCTTTCTAAAAACTATGTAGGTGTCACAGAGAGGAGTTATAATGTTTTATATGGGTTCTATTAAAATTTCATTTCCAGGGTCACTCACCATTGACTTGTTTTCGCCCTCCAAGTTTTATTAGTTGAGTTTTCTTATCGTCGAAGATTCATGGCGATTCTTAGTATTGGAGATTATTTCGAGGGTACGATTTTTAATTCACTCTACTGTACTTGCTTATGCTCTAACGTCAAGTGTGAAGTGGGTTCATTTCTGCTCACCAGCGCATGATGGTATTTAGGCACTCTTAGGTTTAAAGTTATTCACATTTTTCCACATCATCATACTTTATGGCTTCGTCACCCTCCAGCTGTTCGGCCAACAGCTCGATTCAGAGTCCTAGTGGACATCTCGGGTTAGGGTGTGTCAATATTTATATTTTAATATTTTTAATCCCACAAATTATGGTTTTTTAATTTAAAATCTCATTTATATAAACAACTAAAATTTCTAATTTTTAATTAAAAAAATATAGTAATGTATATAGAAATAAATTATCACATTAATTTCAAGGACCTTGATCAAAAATTAAAAACCAACAAGATTTCAATAAAAAATATTCATAACTAAAGATCACATCCGAAGTCTCCCTTAGTAATACATGCATAGAAATATCATAATCAAAACCAAGATGATATTTCCCCATGTTGATGGTCTATTGCTTTTGAAATCAACGGCCACGTTTGTTGAAATGTACGACTCCGATAAATCGCTAACCGTATAATTTGGGTTTGATCCATACAAAGCTTGAACACCTTCAATGTCATCAAGATGCAAATCGACCTTCCTGTCCCGAGGCTTCAAACTCGGATACATAACAGCCTCTTTCACCAAACTATGCCCCAACCCTAGTAAATGTCCAATCTCATGCACCGCCACCGACTCCAAATCCACGGCCACCATGGACTTCTCCTTCCGAAAGTCCACTGCCCACCTCTCCGCTGCATCAAGGTGGAGCCTTCCGCTCACAGGCGAAAACGAGTGGGCCAAAATCCCTAGCACCCCATCAAAAGGCTCTCCATCCCCATGATCACCGCTATAAAACCCTATTTTGATGTCGGCAAAGCCGTAGTCATTAGTCTCCATGAAACTCACCGGAATCACGGATGCCCATCTGGAGAAAGCACGTTTAAACACATGCTGTATATCGGATAAGCTCAAGTAGTTAATCAGGTTGTCATTAGAGATTGCGTAGGTGAGTGTCATGGGCTTCATACGCACCCACCTAGGTTTTTCAGGAAAATACACGTAATGTTGTATGCCATGCAACGTGAAACTATGGTGTATATACTCTGATTTTCTGGCGGCAGCGTAGCTGTCGCTCCGAGCATAGAAGAATGCCTCGATTTTCTTCAATGTGTCGGAGGCTATCGTTGGCACTGTTCTAGTGGAAAAGGATGGCGTTACGTTTAGCAGCAACAAGAAGAAGAAGGAGAGGTAGAGACAATAACTGAATAACAGAGACATGGCAGGAAAAGCTAGCAGTTAAAGGGATTGGAGGGTTTGGAAGGTAGCTTTAATATGAAGGACAAATAAAATGTTAGGGATAATTTGGTTCTAGCCATACTGAAATTATAACGGAGTGTTGGGAGGAATCTGTGTGTTGTTTTATGGTAGTAGGTCCTTTTCATTACTATGTGAAGATCCGACTTTTCAGTTGCTTTTGATCATGATTTGAAATATGAGTCAATAAAATTGTAACAATTAATCATGGGACTATACTAACGGATCTAGCAATAATAACACAGTGACCAAGTACTACGGTTTAGTGATATTCCTCTTCACTTATAAGTGATAGGTCTTAGGTTCGATTCTCGCCATAGGCAAATTTCAACTACATTATTGCTAGCCTATTATGAGGTTTATTCCACTCTCCCATCCCTTTTTTCTAAATAATATCGTTTGTTCATAAAATAAAATAAAACAATAATAAAACAGTGTGAAACCAACTAATAGATTTATCCTAAATCGATCCTGTAACCGTTGATGAGGATGATCCGGCATATGATGCTCAGATAATGTTGTGCTAACACCTGATACCAACACTGAATGTATATGATTATCTATATCCTATAAATGTACTCTTAATTAATTAAGCTTTCTTTTCATGTTAATTTTGATTAAAAGATCTGTCATATATATACTCATCACATTTCTCACAAAAATGGAATCCACTTGTTGACACATTACTCATTAATTATTGCAATCTCATTTGGTTAAAAGTATCTTTATATACATACAAGCGATATTTCATTTATATTTATCTAAACTATAATTACAGAATGTAGAAAAAGTGTACATGTTCTAACCAAGTTGAGTAAGTCCAAATTTGGTTGGTTAACTCCTAACGGATTTAGCTTCCATCCCGGGATCTCTGCCATCCCTCCAAAAGCCCCAGATCCTGTAGTTGTTGATTCCAAAAAAAAATCCTATTTATTTCATAACCTTGCTAATCTAACGTTAATTTCATTTGATATAGAGGACAAAGCTCCATTTAGTATACCTATTGAATTCCTACTAATACCATGTTCCATACTAATAGTTAATCTGGTGGTGGTTTGGGAAATCATTAGCTTCCAGGTCCAATGTTGGTTGTTGATCTCTAGTTTGGTATGTATGGTAAGAAAAAAACTAAAATGCCCGATGATTTGCACTCATGGTCGTTAGGATGCTATGATAATTTTAGACGTGTGGATGACTCAATCGGTCAAACTTGAGAAAGCAAGCAGCTAGTGTGCTGCTTTCTTAGATTTGGACTTAAAGAGGACTCAATGTTGGACTCTTTGAAAGTCACGAACAACTACCATGTTAGGAAACTGCAAAACATAGAGTTGCTTCCTTACTACTAAAATAAATTTTTACTGTTAGTTCATATATTACTTGTCAAGGAAGCTTGACACTACCTACTTTCTAACAGAAAAATCATTGGTACAGCAGCTATCTGCAATATTATCAATTCCAACTGCTGTACTATTGAGTTTATGTGGTTCTACGGATATGCTTTTTCCCACTGTTCCAAAAAACCCAGCCTAGCATAGTCTAGGCCCCCCGCCTAGGCGCTAGACGGTTGGTCACCGTTTCGATTAATGCTTAGACGTTTGGAAATTAAGAAAGGGTGCCTAGACCGCCTAGGCACCTTGCCTAGCCTACCCAGACCCACCTAGGCACCCGCCTAGGTTGCGACTCACTTAGATAGAAAATAGATAACTTTCATTTTGCATTTTTTTTTCAATAAATTGTAAGAGACTTGTTGAATACTTAAATGAATACACATTGTATGCATGTTGCCCATGTTTTCATTATGTTCCAATATTTCCTAATATATATATTATTCTATTTTGTAGTTTATAATGAAATTATATATATTTTAAGAATAAACAGACACTTATTTACAGGAAATATAATAAATTTACTTAAATTTGCTTACTCCGCCTAGGCACTAGGCCCTAGCTTACTGTCCGACTAGCGCCTAGCGTCTCTTAGAACCTTGTTTTTTCCTCAAAGTTTATAGATTGATAATTGAAAGATAACAAACGTTATTAACGCCTAACCATCCTATTTGTAGTGCCTCTTAAGGAGCTTTAGCAGTCCAATATAATTAAAATTAAACAATTAATAACAAAATGTGATAACAACGTCTTTAAAATTTAAATCCTTATAAAACATTGTAAAGATAAAATTTGGCTTAAAGTGCCCTTACATCACATCAAATTGGTATGTTTGATGCGCGTTGTTGTTCCTTTAAAACGACGGGTCATCAGAGTCAAATTTGCAAAACATACATTATTCTTGCTGCCTAACTTGTGTCTCTAATCGAACGGGGACCATTACTGACTTCGGATTAATATGTGTGCTAATTTGTTTAGTTTTATTTTCAATTGTTTTAATGTTCAAGCATTGCTACCAGAAAAACACTAGCAAACTAAAATAAATTGGTAAACCAACTTGTCAGTACGATGCATTTAGAGGAATCAATTTTAATTTTCTTAAAATAATTTTAGGGAGCTTTAACAAAAAAATGGCTTGGGCTAATTTTCATTTAACCAAAAATCGCCCTAAACTATTACTTGAAAAAAAACTTAAGTTTTAACCATAAGGATATATATCAAATCCTTAAAAAAACAAAAAACATGCGCTCAATAAAAAGCCCAACCCACAGAACAATTACTATTCCAAAAATGCCCCTAATGGAACTTTAACGCAGACCCGTTACCAAAACAACGGTTACCACTTTCAATCCACCAGCTCCACCGCCTTAATTATACCAACCACTCCTACAAACTAGCAAATAGAACCAAATTTGAACCCCACAAACAATAATCCATTCCGCAAAATCCAATTTCAACTTCAAAATCCAATTTTCAAACAAAAATGTGCACATCAATGGTAGAAGAACAACAAATTTCCGACGAACAAGAGGCACTAAACCGGAATCTTTGTTAAATTCTGACTTTGAAATTCAGTAATATGTATGTTTGCATGTTCGTGATTCCATAAACCTATCAATTCTTACTTAGAAAACACTACAAAACGATTAATTTTCTTTTTACTGCATTATGATAACTACTCATTTTTTTTCGAAACTGAAATTCCATATGTTTCCTACTTTTTCAATTTCATGTATAACTTTGGGATAGTTCAAGCAATATTGTGTGTTATTTTTGCTTCAAATCTACAATTACTGTTGATTATATTGTTCTAGATCAAGAAATAGTGTTTATTTTGTTACAGCTCATAAATATTGGGGGTTATTTTTTTATCAATTTCACAAAATAGTGAGCGTTATGATGCTTAAATTCCAGAAATAATGTTCGGTTTTGCTCATTTTCCATATAAATACCGTGGAATATTTCATAAATAGTGTGGATTAATTTTTCTAGATCCATAAACAGTGTTTAATTGTTATATCTCATAAATATTGGGGGGGTTATTTTTTATCATTTTCACAAAACAGTACGGGTTATTATGCTTTAATTCCATAAACACTATTGCCTTTTTGTTCTAGTTCAAGAAATAATGTGCATTATGTTAATTCATAATCATAAAAAGTGGGGGATGTTTTGTTGTAGTTCACGGACTAATGTTGATTTTGCTCCCTTTCATAAACAATGTGGATTGTTTGGGTTTGTTTGCTTCCTTCCATAAACAATGTGGGTTATATTGTTCTAGATCCAGAAATAGTGTGGGATATTTCATAAACAGTGTTTATTATTTTACATATCATAAATATTGGAGATTATTTTATCAATTTCACAAAATAGTACAGGTTACTAAGTTGTAATTCCATAAACACTATTGTTTTTTGTTCTAGTTCGAGAAATAGTGTGCGTTATGTTAATTCATAACCATAAAAAGTGTAGGATGTTTTGTTGTAGTTCATGGACTAATATTGATTTTTCTCCCTTCCATAAACAACGTGGGTTGTTTTGGTTTAGTTTTGTTCCCTTTCCTTATAAATAGTGTGGATTGATTTTCCTCCCTTTCATAAATATTGTAAGTTTACTTTTGTTTTTGGTTAGTTTGATGTAATTCCACAAGTAGAGTTTATTTTCGTACCTTCCAGGAACATTGTGGCTTATTTTGGTTCATTTCATAAATGGTGTGAGTTTATTAAGCGTAGTTCCAGAAATAACATGCGTTACTTTGATATAGTTTAAGAAATAGTGTCCTAACAATTTTCATTGATGCTGATGGAACAAACAAAACCACGTACAAAGAAGAGTAAAACTAATAAAAAAGAAGGTAAAAAAAAGAAGGAATATGAGAAATCAGTCAAAGACGAAACACCTGAGGGTGCAAAAAGATATCATTGCACTCATATGTGCCCACCTCATTCAGTGACTGCAGTTTACTAAATCTGAAACTTACATGGAGTTTCCTAGAAAATATGTGGGAACTTGGAGCAGATAAACAAGTAAAACTAGGCAAAAGGAGTAAGGGACTATCACTTCAAGATGCTTGACAAAGCACATAAAAAAAAAGGAGGAAGGAGAAGAGCCGACAACAAGTGGATTCACTGTCCTTGTTTTGGTAAGTAATCAAAATACTAGTATGAAAATAATGAAGAATTTATTTTGAAAACATGTTCATTTGAATAACATCTATAGCATGCAATTAACAAATTAAAGGCGGAATCATGCTTGTATGCATTCAAAAACAAAACATTACCCATGAAATTCAAAGCCTAGTAGATTGGTGAACCAATAATCAACTCAAAACAAAGTGAGTTGAAATTAATACCTTTGTAGATTCCTCTTTGCATAAGCAAAGGCTAATCACCCAAAGAGATAGGGCCTTCATTCCTTGCTTCTTAGATCCATGGATTTGGATGGAAGAATAGGTTCTCCAAGTTCCCAAAATTGAGAACCTCTAAGTCTCTTCACCAAGGTTTGATTGTAGAAGAAATGAGTGACCTTGGAGTAGTAGGATTGCTAGATGTACCCTCCAAGGTGTTGGCCTCTTTAGAGAGAAAATGGAGAGACAATTCTCACCCATTTTCACCCAAAATAAACCCTTAATTACATTAATGAATA